ATTGAATGGCCTTGCAGCTTCAAAACCAGGATGCTTCCTGCGTGGGGGAATCCTTTGTTAGGTGATTAGCTGGCCCTGATTGTCTGGAAATCTATTCTGCATTGGTCAGACCTTACCTGCAATAATTCTTTTCTTTTTTTGTGTGGAATAAAATACATTTTTCCTTTTGAGGAACATATAAATAGTGGTGAAATACATTTTCTGTTGTTGTTGTTGTTGTTGTTGTTGTTGTTGTTGTTGTTGCTGATATTTACAAAAACAACCCACATTGAATTATTTGTCTTTTTACTTCCATACAGAAACAACAACAAACCTTATGGCAGACTTTTGCACTGAGGCCAGGCATGTTTGTAAACATTCTTTACCTCCCTGACTTTTGTATTGTACAGAAAGTCTCTGGTAACTTATTAACAAAATAATAAAAGGAAAATGTCACAACAGATTAAGAAGGCAACAAGTCGGATACAAAAGGCATCACAGCATTTCGGTGTCACGCAACACACTTTGCAGAGCTCTTAAAGGTACAGGAGCCCCACTTTATGATAATTTTGGTTGTCAGTTGTACCATTTTTGTATGCATTTTTCTCAGGAACTGAACAACTGTGGGATTTTGGGATTTGTAGTCCCCCCTCCAGTCCTTTATTTGGAATCTATAAATTTTCCACACCCTAAACTCTAGCATTTCTGTTTTCTCCAACACTGGCTGTTAGGAATGATGGGAGTTGAAGTCCAATACGCCTGGAGGGCTGAAGTTTGCCCAGGCCTGCACTTAAATCAGGTTGCTGCAACCTTCAGAATTCTGGAGATTGTAGTTTAGAGGAGGAGCCTTTCATATGCTCAGCCAGATAGGTCCTGAGCTTCACTAAACTACAAACCCAAGTGTTTGGCAGGGGGTCGGGACACCTGGGGGGGGGGTCGTGAGGGGGTTTCATAGGGGTCGCCAAAGACCATCAGAAAACACATTTCTGATGGTCCTAGGAATCCCTTTGGCATAGTCATTTGGGTTTACAGTGCTCTCTGRGTGTAGGTAAACTACATCTCCCCTAAATCACTGTCAATTCATCCCAAATCTCTCCAGAATTTTCTGTTGGTCATGGGGGTCTCTGTGTGGGAAGTTTGGCCCAATTCTATCATTGGTGGGGTTTGGAATACTCTTTGATTGTAGGTGAATGAGAAATCCCAACAACTACAACTCCCAAATGTCAAGGTCCATTTCCCCCAAACTCCACCAGTGTTCACATTCAGACATATTGAGTATCCATGCCAAGTTTGGTCCGGATCTATCATTGTTTTGAGTCCACAGTGCTCTCTGGATATAGGTGAGCTACAACTCCAAAACTCAAGGTCAATGCCCATCAAACCCATCCAGTAGGTGAACGATAAATCCCAACAACTACAACTCCCAAATGTCAAGGTCTATTTCCCCCCAAACTCAACCAGTGTTCACATCTGGGCATATTGAGTATCCATGCCAAGTTTGGTCCGGATCTATCGTTGTTTGAGTCCACAGTGCTCTCTGGATGTAGGTGAACTACAACTCCCAAACTCAAGGTCAATGCCCACCAAACCCGTCCAGTATTTTCTGTTGGCCATGGGACTTCTGTGTGCCAATTCCATCGCTAGTAGAGCTCAGAATGCTCTAAATTATAAATCCCAGCAACTACAATTCCCAAATGTCAAGGTCTATTTTCCCCAAACTCCAAGGTGTGAATGTGTGGGCAAGGGAGAGTGTGTGAGGATAGAGGGAGGTTCATGCCAATGAGTCCCTTCAAGATATGGGGATTCTGTATGGGAAGTTTGGGTTCTATCCCAATTCCATCATTGGTGGGGTTCAGAATGCTCTTTGATTGTAGGTGAACTATAAATCCCAGCAACTTCAACTCCTAAATGTCAAGGTCTATGTCCCCCCAAATTCCACCAGTGTTCACATCTGGGCATATTGAGTATTTGTGCCAAGTTTTGTCCGGATCCATCATTGTTTGAGTCCTCAGTGGTCTCTGGATGTAGGTGAACTACAACTCCAACACTCAAGGTCAATGCCCACCAAATCCTTCCAGTATTTTCTGTTGGTCATGGGAGTTCTGTGTGCCAATTCCATCGCTAGTAGAGCTCAGAATGCTCTTTGATTATAGGTGGATTATAAATCCCAGCAACTACAACTCCCAAATGTCAGGGTCTATTTTCCCAAACTCCAAGGTGTGAATGTGTGGCCAAGGGAGAGCATGTGAGGATGGAGGGAGGCTCATGCCAGTGAGTCCCTTCAAGATATGGGGATTCTGTATGGGAAGTTTGGGTTCTATCCCAATTCCATCGTTGGTGAGGTTCAGAATGCTCTTTGATTGTAGGTGAACGATAAAGCCCAACAACTAACTACAACTCCCAAATGTCAAGGTCTATTTTGCCCAAGCTCTACCATTGTTCACATTTGGGCATACTGAGTATCCATGCCAAGTTTGGTCCAGATCCATCATTGTTTGAGTCCACAGTGCTCTCTGGATGTAGGTGGACTACAACTCCCAAACTCAAGGTCAATGCCCAGCAAACCCTTCCAGTATTTTCTGTTGGTCGTGGGAGTTCCGTGTACCAAGTTTGGTTCAATTTCATTATTGGTGGAGTTCAGAATGCTCTTTGATTGTAGGTGAACTACAAATCCCCACAACTACAACTCCCAAATGACAAAATCAATCCYGCCCCCTCCTGCAACCCCACCAGTATTCAAATTTGGGCRTATCGGGWATTTGTGCCAAATTTGGTCCAGTGAATGAAAATACATCCTGCTTATCAGATATTTACATGGTTGGGGGTCACCACAACATGAGGAACTGTATTAAGGGGTCGCGGCATTAGGAAGGTTGAGAACCACTGCCCTATGAGGAGCGGCTTAAAGAGCTGGGCATGAAGAGAAGAGAAAGCTGARAGGAGTGTAAAGGCACCATGTCAGACTACACAGAGAAGCCAYTGAAATCCACAAGCATGTGGACAATCTCAACAGAAAGGAGGAAACTATGAAAATGAACAAAATCTGGCTCCCAGTATTCAAACACTCTAAAATCAGAGAGTAAGTAAAGAAGAAAACTCAAAAAGCAGGGGAATTCCAGACAAGAAACAATCAGGGCCATCTAACACCTCCCAACAAAGGATTCCCCCAGACAGGAAGTAACCAAGCCTTGAAGCTGCGAGACCATTCAAAATCTGGCTATGAGTATTAAAACACTCTAAAATCAGGACAGTAAGCAAAGAACAACACTCAAAAAGCAGAGGAATTGCAGACAAGAAACAATCAGAGTCACTTCCCAACCATCCCAACTTCCCAACTCCTCTATTCTGTTTTGGTTAGACCACATCTGGAATATTGTGTCCAGTTCTGGGCACCACAATTCAAGAGAGATATTGACAAGCTGGAATGTGTCCAGAGGAGAGCGACTAAAATGATAAAAGGTCTGGAGAACAAGCCCTATGAGGAGCAGCTAAAGGAGCTGGGCATGTTTAGCCTGAAGAAGAGAAGGCTGAGAGGGGATATGATAGCCATGTATAAATATGTGAGAGGAAGTCATAGGGAGGAGGGAGCAAGCTTGTTTTCTGCTTCCCTGGAGACTAGGACACGGAACAATGGCTTCAAACTACAAGAGAGGAGATTCCATCTGAACATGAGGAAGAACTTCCTGACTGTGAGAGCCGTTCAGCAGTGGAACTCTCTGCCCTGGAGTGTGGTGGAGGCTCCTTCTTTGGAAGCTTTTAAACAGGCTGGATGACCATCTGTCAGGGGTGATTTGAATGCAATATTCCTGCTTCTTGGCAGGGGGTTGGACTGGATGGCCCATGAGGTCTCTTCCAACTCTTTGATTCTATGATTCTAATAAGAATACATATCTCCAGTGGGTTAAAGCACTGAGCTGCTGAGCTTGTTGATCGAAAGGTCGCAGGTTCGATTCCGGGGAGCGGCGTGAGCTTCCGCTGTCAGCCCTAGCTTCTGCCAACCTAGCAGTTCGAAAACATGCAAATGTGAGTAGATCAATAGGTACCGCTCTGGCGGGAAGGTAACGGCGCTCCATGCAGTCATGCCGGCCACATGACCTTGGAGGTGTCTACGGACAACGCTGGCTCTTCGGCTTAGAAATGGAGATGAGCACCACACCCCAGAGTCAGACATGACTGGACTTAATGTCAGAAGAAAACTGATAGCAAATGAGAGATTCCCCCCTGGGCACACAGAAGTCTGGGCAACTTGGAAGGCGCTGAACAGACTGCGCTCTGGCACCACGAGATGCAGAGCCAACCTTAGAAATGGGGCTACAAAGTGGAATCCACGACATGCGAGTGTGGAGAAGAGCAAACCACTGACCACCTGCTGCAATGCAACCTGAGCCCTGCCACATGCACAATGGAGGACCTTCTTGCAGCAACACCAGAGACACTCCAAGTGGCCAGATACTGGTCAAAGGACATTTAACCAACTACCAAACTCACAAGTTGTTTATTTTTCTGTTTGTTTGCTTTGTTCTGTTAGAAATGTAATATAATGGACTGGCTGCTCTGACACGACAAATAAATCAAGAGTTGGAAGAGACCTCATGGGCCATCCAGTCCAACCCCATTCTGCCAAGAAGCAGGAATATTGCATTCAAATCACCCCTGACAGATGGCCAGCCAGCCTCTGTTTCAAAGCTTCCAAAGAAGGAGCCTCCACCACACTCCGGGGCAGAGAGTTCCACTGCTGAACGGCTCTCACAGTCAGGAAGTTCTTCCTAATGTTCAGATGGAATCTCCTCTGTTGTATAAATAAATAAATGCTGTGGGGGAGTTTTAGGATTGATAGTCCCGGCCACGACTCAGAGGGATGCCCAAGGTCTAACTTGGGTTTTGTCCCTCTCTTTTGGTGAGGCTCTTTAAGTCCCCCCCCCCTAAAGCGCCTTCTCTCCAAAGCTTGGCCAATGGCGTCGTCCCTCGCGTTTCCCCCTTCGTGAGTCGGGTCCCCCTTGGAGTTTCTTTTCTTTGGAGACACGCAAGCCACGCGAGCGCGCGCGCGCAGGCGCTCGTGCCCGCGCCCACCCACGAGAGCGCGAGCCCAAGTACTTTTTTCCCTGGGTATTTTTTTCCTTCTTCTTCTTCTTTCTCCCCCTTTTGAGTTCTCTTCTTCTCTGGACGAGTTTTTGGAGAGGCGCAAAAGGAGAGAAAAACAAGGAAAGTCGGCCTTCTTTTCCTTCTTTTCCTTGGACTTTTATATTATTCCGGATTTTTGTCTTGTTATATTTTAGAGAGGGGGGGAGGGCTTGCTCTGCTCCTAAAAGGCGGACCGAGAGGAGAACCAGAGACCCTCCCCCTTTCCCAAAAAGAACACAACAACAAAACAAGAAACCTCTCCAAAATCCATCTGGCAATGAGTTAAAAAAAAAGCGGCGCAAAGAAGGAGATGGACACCAAACATTTCCTCCCTTTGGGTGAGTTTTTGGGGGGCTCTTCCCCGATTTTTCCTATATCCTTTCGGGGAAAAAGTGGGGAATTAAGGGGGGGGGAAAGAGAGAGAAAAAGGGGGAGGATTGGAGGAGGAAGAGGAGCACCCCAAACAACAACAACGTCAAGGCGAGATGCGTAAAAAGCCGTGCGTAAAAGCGCACGCGTTTGGGGGGCTTGCAAAAAAGCCCCCTTTCCAAGTAAAGCTTTTGGGGAACCCTCTCCCAAAGGGTCCAGTTAGACAAAAGAGGGTCACAGGATGGTCCCCATATAGGTTATATACGTCTATGTCTTTCCATAATGGGGGAGTGTCCCTTCTTTCTCGCCATGTCCAATGCAGAGAGAGAGAGAGCAGTTGCTTTCTCCACTCTGGCTCGGCTTGTGGCAATGGAGCCAGGCAGGCCTTGGGAAGGAAGGGGAAAGGGAGCCTTTGGGGGTGTGTGGTTGCGGCTGTCGTTGTGTTCTCGGCCCTCGGTGGTTGCCTCTTGGGTTGACACGGCTTTGGGGGAGTCCCAAGTGGCTGCCTCGGCTCAAAGAGTGTTTTGGGGGAGCTCGAAGTTCAGTCGGACGGGAAGCGAGGAAAAGGTTTTGCGCTTTGGAGAGAAGTGGCCCAGAGAGAGAAAGAGAGTGTGTCTGTGGACTGGGTAAACTGCACTAGAATCTGGGCCCTTCCTTCCTTCTTTCTTTCCTCCTTTCCTTCCTTCTTTCCTTACTCCCTTCCCTCCCTCCCTGCCTTCTTTCCTTCCTTCCTTCTTTCGTCCCTCCCTTTCACTTTATTTCTTTTTCTTTCTTCCCTTCTCTCACTCCCCTTCCTGCCTTCCTTCCTTTTTTCCTTCCATCTTTCTTCTTGCCTTCTTTCCTTCCTTCCTTCTTTCCTCCCTCCCTTCTTGCCTTCTTCTTTCTTCCTTCTTTCCTTCCATCTTTTTCCTTCTTTTTCCTTCCTTTCTCTTCTTCCCTTCTCTTCCCTCCCTCCCTCCCTTCCTTCCTCCTTCCTTCCTTTCTTTCTTCCTTGTTTCCTTCCTCCCTTCTTTTCTTTTTCTTTCTTCCCTTCTCTCTCCTTCCTTCCTTCTTTCCTTCCTTTTTCCTTCCATCTTTCTTCCTGCCTTCTTTCCTCCCTCCCTCCCTCCCTCCTTTCTTTCCTTCCTTCCTTCTTTCCTTCCATTTTCCTTCCTTCCTTCTTTCCTCCTTTTCTTCTTTCCTCTCTCCTTTCTTTCTTTCTTTCCTCCCTCCCTCCTTGCCTTCATTTCTTCCTTGTTTCCTCCCTCACTTTTACTTTATTTCTTTTTCTTTCTTCCCTTCTCTCTCCTTCCTTCCTTCCTTCTTTCTTACCTTCCTCCCTCCCTCCCTCCTTTCATTCCTCCCTCCCTTTCACTTTATTATTTTTCTTTCCCCCCTTTCTCTCGCCCTCCTTCCTTCCTTTCTCTCGTCCTTCCCCTTCCTCCCTTATCTCTCTTCTTCCACCCTCATTTCACTCTTTCATTCTATTCCTCTTCTATTTCTTTTTCTCTCCCCCTCTCTCCTTCCACCATCCCTTTACTTGTATTTTTCTATTTATTTATTTTCTTCCTTCTTCACTTCCTTCTTTCTCTCCTTCCCCTTCCTCTCTTTCCCCTCCCTTTTCTATTTCTTTCTTCCCTTTTCTCTCTCTTTCCTCCCCTTTTCTTTCTTTCTTTCATTCTTTCTTTCTCTCTCCCCTTCTCCCTTCATTCCCCTCCCTTTCGGTCCCCCTTTCCCTCTCTTTTCTATTTCTTTCTTCTCTTCTCTCTCTTTCCTATTTCTTTCTTTCTGTCTGTCTTCCCTTCTCCTTCCTTCCCTCCTCTCTCTCTCTCTTTCACCTTCCTTCCTCTCTTCCCCATCCCCTCTTTTTTCTATTTCTTTCTTCCTCTCTCTCTCTCTCCTCCCTTCCCTTCCCTCACTTTTTTCTATTTCTTTCTTCCCTCATCCCTCCTTCCTTCTCCCCTCTTTCTCCTTCCACACCACCTAATAACCCAGAATATCAAGCCCGATTATAATCCACAATATCTGCTTTGAACTGGATTATCAGAGTCCACAGTGCCATATAATCCAGCTTAATGTTGATCTTATACAGCTGTGTGAAAGGGAACTCACATTTTTCCTTTCTTCCCTACCCCTTCCCTCCTTCCTTCCTCTCCCCCCGCTCTCTCCTTCCTGGGTTTTATTTTAAGATTTACTTTTGTATGCTTCTAATTGCATAGTTTCCAAAGGTTGTGAGCTGATTTGGGTGTTTTGCCATGAGTTAAAAGCAAGGTAATAATAGTAATAGTAATAATAATAGCAATAATATAATAATAGTAGTAATAATAATATAATAATAATAATAATAGTAATATAATAATAATGGTAATAATAATAATAATAATAGCAGCAACAACAATTCCTCCCTCCTTCTACTTTCTTTTCCCCTCTTTCTACTTTCTTCTTCTCTTCTCGTCTTTCCTCTTTCTTTCTTTCTTTCTTTCTTTCTTTCTTTCTTTCTTTCTTTCCTTCTCTCTCTCTCTTTCCCTCTCTTTCTGACTTCCTTTCCTCCAGTTTTTGGAAGTTGGCATTGGGCGGAGAGTCTCCGAAGGAGGGGAGGAGGAGACTTTTGGAAGCTCTCTGCAGGAAATCCAAAGAAAGAAGGGAACGAAGGAAAGGAGGAGTGGAAGGAAAGGAGGAGTGCGAGCAGGCCTGGGAGTGTTGCGAAAGGCCACCACTGCTCCTTCTCCCTCTTTGGGTGTCCCACTAAATAACAAAGCCTTGTTTTTAAATGCTCAAAACATGCCATTCCATGTAGATACTTTCCCAAGTTTTGGGCCATTATAGGAATTCACCTCATAATGTATTTGGAGTCAAATACTTTTGTGGAGAGTGCCTTCTGTTTGGAGAGATTTGTGGCTGTTTCTTTTGTCCTCTTCCTTCCTTTTACACCAACCCTTGAAATGAACTCCTTCTGCACCTTTGAAAAACCTCAGTTTAGTATCACGAGACCAGGAGGATGGGACATGCAGTCAGGGCCACCTTGCTAGATCCCATCCAGCCCTGCTCTGGCGTGTTTCGGCATCCCTTCTCCTTCCAAAACATCCCTTCCCTTCCTTTTGAATGCCTTCGCCTTTCTGCCTCTCCTCCTTTTCTTGTTCCTTCTTGGTATTTTGGAGTCGTGTTCCGGCTTGTTGGTTGCGCTTGTCATTTTCGGATCAGCTTCGAAGAAAGACGCCCGCCGGGCCTTTCACAATCTCAGTCCATGGTTTTCTGCACGCCGATGCAGGCAGGAAAGAACTGGCTCTGGTTTGGATTGTAACTCCCATCAATCCCCTAGACACATGGGTATCGGTCTCTTTGGGTCCCATGGAGATTGGTTCCATTTTGGACTACAACGCCTAGTATTTTTTAAACACACAAGGATGGATATATCTCAAAACAACATCTCTGGTTTGGATTATAACTCCCATCATCCCCTAGACACATGGGTATCGGTCTCTTTGGGTCCCATGGAGGCTGATTCCATTTTGGACTACAACGCCTAGTATTTTCTAAACACACAGGGATGGACATATCTTCAAACGTAATCTCCGGTTGGGATTATAACTCCCATCATCCCCTAGGCACATGGGTATCGGTCTCTTTGGGTCCCATGGAGGTTGGATCCATTTTGGACTACAATGCCTAGCATTTTCTAAATACACAGGGATGGGCATATTTCCAAATGACATATCTGATTTGGATTATAACTCCATCATTCCCTAGACACATGAGTATCAGTCTCTTTCAATCCTACGGAGGTTGGTTCTGTTTTGGACTACAATGCCTAGTATTTTCTAAACACACAAGGATGGACATATCTCCAAACGTAATCTCTGGTTGGGATTATACCTCCCATCATCCCCTAGACACATGGGTATCGGTCTCTTTGGGTCCCATGGAGGTTGGTTCCATTTTGGACTACAATGCCTAGCAGGGATAGGCATATCTTCAAACGACATATCTGATTTGGATTATAACTCCCATCATCCCCTAGGCAGATGGGTATCGGTCTCTTTGGGTCCCATGGAGGTTGGTTCCATTTTGGACTACAATGCCTAGCATCCTCCAAACACACAGGGACGGGCATATCTCCAAATGACATCTCTGGCTTTGGATGATAACTCCCATCATCTCCTAGTCACATGAGTATCAATCTCTTTCAATCCTATGGAGGCTGGTTCCATTTTGGACTACAACACCTAGCATTTACTAAATACTCAGGAATGGGCATATCTCCAAACGACATATCAGATTTGGATGATAACTCCCACCATCCCCTAGACACATGGGTATCAGTCTCTTTGGGTCCCATGGAGGTTGGTTCCATTTTGGACTACAATGCCTAGCATTTCCTAAACACACAGGGATGGGCATATCTCTAAACGACATCTCTGGTTTGGACTATAACTCCCATCATCCCCTAGACACATGAGTATCGGTCTCTTTGAGTCCCATGGAGGCTGGTTCCGTTTTGGACTACAACATATCATAAAATATCCTTTCAAATTTCAAAACCTAAATCTGGCCCGCAGGCCAAAGCGTTGCTCTGTTTGCGGAGAGGGCAAAGGTCTTGTTTCCTGCCGATTCCGCCAATTGCCTAACGTTGCGGCTTGCCTTTCTGTCCTTATTTGCACAACGAAAAGTTAAAATGTTATTTTCATGGGGGCGGATGGGAAGAGACTTTGGGGTACGTTGAATCAATAAAGGCAAGCAATGAGGAATTTGGGTTGCTGTGAGTTTTCCAGGCTGTCTGACCATGTTCCAGAAGCATTCTCTCCTGATGTTTTGCCCACATCTATGGCAGGCAGCCTCAGAGGTTGTGAGGTCTGTTGGAAACTAGGCAAGTGGTGTTTATCTCTCTTTCTCTGGCATACTAAGCTACAGGCACACAGGCCTTCAACCTGGGGCTTCCCTCACTGAAGCTTCTCGCACCAGGCCTTTTCAAACTGAGGCCTACTAATGCTGA